AACTTCTTGTGCATATCCCTTATGTACTTGCCTTGACTCATAAATGTAGTATTTTTCAATTGCTTGATTTGGATAACAAAGAAGTTACTCAACTCTCCAATCATGAACATCTCAAACTCTTGAGCCATTATCTATGCTATCTATTGTCTATACTCTACTATACTATACTATAAAGGAGCAAAGGAATTGAAAATTCATTGTTACCGTAAAAATTTTCTACCCAACTTAAATTGATAGGTGGGTCCACTAGATAAGGATGTAAGGAACTTATGAAACATGCGTGTTTCCTCTTAGGGGGTGTTTGGATCCAGTGACTAAGATTTATGAGGTATGTTGAGAGGATGTTGCATGGAGTATTCGGATACTAATAAAAAAACAAATTACACAATCCGTCAGTACTCTACGAGACAATTTTTTAAGCCTAATCAATCCGTCATTAGCACATGTTTACTGTAGCAAAATATTGTCAAATCATGAACTAATTAGGCTTAAAAGATTCGTCTCGTAAATTAGTCGCAAACTATATAATTAGTTTCGTAATTAATCTATATTTAATACTTCGTGCATGTGTTAAACGTTTCGATGGGACACCGACACACAGCTCTTTCTTCGCGTTTTTTTCACCGTGCCCGCTGTATGCCCGCCCGTCGTACCCGCCTCCACGAAAACTTCCCAGCCCCTATCCCCCGCCTCTTTGATCCAAAATTCCAAATGGATCGGCGCCGGTGTGCAGTTTCCCGCTAGATTGATTTTTCCCGACCTCTCCCAGTCTTCGGGCCGCCGCCTTCTCCGCCCTAGAGATGGCAACCGCCGGTCCGCCCGCTTCCCTCCGCAATCCGCACACGCCTCTGTTCCCTCGACCCCAATGCACCCCGCCGCCCCGCGCCCATCCACATCCACCCTGCGTCCCTAGCTCCCTACCAAGCGCCGCCGGGGTTGCTGCGCGGTTGCTGCTCCGCTGTCACGCCAATGAGGAAGACGTCGGTGTCGATGTCTGGAGCGACGCCGTCTCCTCCCATGCGCACACTCCCCGGTGATCTCCGTGACCGTGACCCCGCTGCCGCCGCAGATCTCGCCGAGGAGACAGGGATCGGTTCTGCCGCCCGGGCATCTGGACCGGCAAAACGAGGCCCTCCGCTACCTGTACAGTTCCCAAGGCACTACTCTACCAGGGTTCGGCATCCTTGGTTCCCCACGTATGTGATCTTCGTGCTTTGCATCCTTGGTTCCCCAGGTATGTGATCTTCGTGCTTTTCTTAGGTTCTGGAGTGGTAGTGCTAATTATTTGATGGGTTAATTAGATTCGGTTGCTGCTATTTTTAAGCTGCTGCTGCCGCCGCCACTGTTTGTACTTTGTAGTGGTCATCCTAATGATCCTTTTTTTTAAATTTGATTTTTGTCCCTAGATTGCTCAATATGAGGATAAGGAGGTTTTTGTGATTACACTGTCTCTTGCAAAATCACACTGCGTTCAATTGGGGCTATGTAAGAATTCAACTAATTTTGTGGTATGTATTGGAACCAGCTTTGTCTAATTTTGCAAAATCTATATGTGGTATCTTTTTTTGGTATATGGTTTTCATGTGTTGATTAAACCTTGAGCAGTTAGATCGTGATATCCACTAAAGCAAACTCTTCTTATTCAAATTAAGGTAAGCAATTATTATATTCTTTCATGCCAAGGTTAATATATTTCTCTTATTGTTGCCTGACAAAAATATTTGATCTTGTCCTTTTCTTGCATAGGATGTAAGCAGCTTGACCAACTTCATACAAAAAGAATATGGGCGTCAAACCAGATGAAAAACAACTTTCTGTTAGTGGCCACAATTGGGGAGAGATTGATGGTAATTTGGGTGAACTTTAATTATTGTAATATTACATATGTTGGGTTTGATTTTAATGTTTCTACCCTTGCCTCTGTAGGAAACATGCTAACCTTTATGGTTGGTTCGAAGCAAGCATTTGAAGTGTCCCTACCACATGTTGCACAAACACAGATGCAAAGGAACAACAGATGTTCTCATAGAGTTTCATGTTGATGATACTGCTGGATCCAATGAGGTTTGTAGCGGACCGTAGTTGTAGAAGATCCACTCATATTTTCTGCATTGCCATCAGTACTATATTGCTTGTGTTGTGTATTACTGTAATTACTTGCTCATCATGTATACAAATGGTTGTAGAAAGACTCCCGCATGGATTTAAGTTAGCCTGTGCCTACTTCGAGTACTCAGTTTGTCAGGGATGAGAATCGCCCTCTGGCTCACGTAAGCTCACTCAATAAGCACTGTGTAAATGAAGCACATTGAAGTTGCAAAATAATAACTAAGAAAATCTATCTATTTTCTGTAGATTTTATGGGAGACTATTGAAATTTGCTGATGCTGGTTCTTCTGAAGAACCAGTTGTCACGTTCGATGGAATTGCGATTCTTACACCAAGGTGGAAAAATATGAACCATTTACCGTATGAAAATACAAGATTGCTGTGCTTAAAAAGCTAACGGTTTTCCTTTTGGCAATCTTGCCTTCAATGCTTTCTTAATACTTGTGCTATGCCTTTGCCAAATGTACTTTTGATTTGAAGCTGATACAAGAAGTTAGGCTGAGCAAACACTTAATTACTCTTTTGATATGTATCCTATCCAAATCTGCAGATACTTCACTATAACCTGGACAGTGAGAATTCCAAATGTTTTTTCATGCTCATCCATGCAATTTATGATCTGAATTTGTTGGGCATTATGAGAGACAGTATCCATTGGGATAAATCATAATGTTCTGCCTCTCTTTGCAGAGGGCTAGACCATAATATTTTAGATACATTGGGGTTTTGGTGGGATGGTTGTAGTATGTGCTGCTATAATTGTGCAAAAAAGATTGAACATTGATAGTTCGAATTTCTGTGCTCTCAAGTCAATACATGTTCTGATTTTAATCTTATACAAATTGCATACTTTTGGTGGGCAAAGGAGCCTTGTTAGTGTTGCCAATGCCAGCTACTGCACAAGAAAAGTCTGTAGACATTATTAGACAGAGAAGCTTCCCTCAAGTGGTTGTTCAAGGTATTGATCTAATTGATTACGAAGACAGCATGCCAACTGCCACTGGAATATCCAAAAGTCTGACATATTATGAGGATTCCAAATCTGAAAAACATAGCACAAACTCAGCAACAAGGATGGAGCTATTCCTTTACTCTTCGAGGACTACATGCAAGGTGATAATGCAAAAAAAAATGTATTCTCTTATTTAGAGTGCCGTAAACATTTCATTACTGACATGTTTTTTATCTCAGCAGCTAAAAATAGTGAACCTATCTGCTCTAAGTATATTTTGTCCCTTTGCATGGTTAGAAAGAGCAGAGTAACTAGATTTCTATTATTATTATTTTGAACGCAATAGATTTCTATTATTAAGCTAGACTGCTAGAGTACAAAGTGCATTCAGCTTATCAAACTCTTGTAATAGCAAAGGGCATGCCCTTCTTGGAATTAATCAAACTGTTGTTATTCAAAATATCTAAATTCTTGTTTGCCCCCTTTCTCTTCATGAATAGATGGATTTCAGCTTATGTGGTTTGTCTGCAAGAACGAAACCATGGCTTGCCAAATCTTTGGCTTGGCATATTTTGGAAGCGAACCAAGCAGAGTTTTTGCAGAGTAAATAATTTTGTCGATGCACTGGCTCTGCTGATGATGTATTGTTAAATTTTAAACTCTCTTACTCTGCTCCATACACTCATTTGGAGCAACAGTTTCTGAAATGCTTGCAAGGAAATAACATACTAAGAACCTTGTAGCATGATGGTTACAATTAGTCGCCTATTTTGTTCTTAGTTAAGAAAATCTGATGGATCCTGATTAATGATTTCAGTACATATAACCCAGCAGCCACAAGGACCTGTACATGCTTCCCATTTGCCGAAGAAATTTCTGGGTCAATTTCCATGTGTTCGTGCTTAAGGCCATGTAGTGTCACGGCAGAAACTCAAGGGTCGTTGGCATCAATGAAGGAAGCTGAAAACGGAGGGAGACTGAACGAGATTTTGTTCCGACTTTTGCGCATCTACCAATACCAAGATAAAAAAAAAGAAGAAATCATGTGCAAAATACATGGATCATAACCATGTCTTCCTACTTCATAGGGTGTGCAAAATACATGGATCATAACCATGTCTCTCGATGACTCCTTCACCTTAAGTTGTTGCTCTTCAGTTCTTTAGTCACTTTGGTAGAGCTTTCCTTTTTAATTCTTAAGCTTTACTTATTGAAATTTATAAAAAAATCTTTAAATCTTAGATAGTTGGTTATAAAATATATTTTTTTGCCACGTGCGTGCCGCACGTGCATTTATACTAGTTTCTCCACACTCCTCACAAATTTTTTTATTTCTTGATCCAAAGATAGCTCGTCGCTTGGTGCCTGGGAGCACGAGCCGTCATAGCTCCCGTCGGCTCCCAGCTCCCAACTCACGAGAGGCTTTTACACAGACGATGCTAATATACGCGTTGTACATGCCCTAGGACTTTAAACTAGCAGTAAATTAAAGTACACGCTGCTGATAGCACAAGTAAATCCAATACTTCGTGAACTTGATGACTTATACATGCACACTTAATAACCAGAGAAAATGTGTGAACGTCATCTTATTACCTGTAGTGGGGAGTGGAGAAATGCATGAGGCGCCTATTATATATACCAGAATCAAATGTAACCAGTATCAAAAGAGACTCATGCATTATTTACTTTGAAATATCAATAAAGAACAAGTGCACATGTCAAGGTGCATAGGATGTAACTGTTTCCATTTTGAAGAGGATAAATTTCCATTACAAGTTTTGTTTTTCTATTATTGTTCTTTATATAAAGACAAATAAGTACGTACAGATACGCTATGCAAGCATACTACATCACTCTTTATTGGTTGATAAATATCCACAATGCATGTATGCAGCCTTTGGGTGGGCTGCATTTAACACCAACCACAAATTTATAGCTAGAGGGGTATTGGATTGATGAAAAGGCGCTCAATCGTCTCCATATACTTGCCGCTTGTGTGTGCGTCCTTTTTACCACGGTACGTGAACGGCATGCACACTGTCAGGTTGATAAGTCGCTGCACCGCTGGAAGTAGCTCAGGATGCTCAAATCGAGCTCTGTTTGCTGTCTTCCATCCATCCTCGATTAGGTAGCCTATCTCAGTCATGGCTACCTCACTTGTTACATTGTACTCGTTCATGTAGCACTCCACGGAAGTTGCTACATCTTTCTTGCTCTTCCCACTCTGCAAATTAAACAATGCAACATAAAGTGCATGCTCCAATTATATATATTAGTTAGTCACAAGAACCACTTTGTGAGCAATGATGATTAACAACAATATGCACATCAAAAAATGATATGGAAAGAAACTCTACATTGAATGAAGCTATGTCGTTCAAGAAACGGGCTATCCGCCCGAAGATCATAACAGCAGTGTCTCCCCTCAGTGCCCACTCAAATGCATCTCTGGTTGCTTCATCACCCATGCCCATTAGTATCGCGGTAGCTCCTATTTTTGGTCCGACCGATACCGTAGACACCTTCACGTGTTCTTTAAAAGATGGTTTGCAATTATGATGAAACCATTCGCTTTCCTGGAGATAACTTTCAGAGGACATCTGAAACTGTACAGACAATGATCAGTACTGGTATATATGAGAACGATTAGATCATTGCTGCCTTGTTGGTGGTTGGTTCATAATTAGTCAGTGCGTACCGCTTCCCTGGTGTAAGCCACACGGTACCTCTCATTTGGTTGCAGTTCATCCTCAAAATCTTCAAAGTTTCGTAACAGCCTTAGGTAGAGCTTCCTCAGGTACTCGGGTAACATAGAAACTGCACTATCGTCCCATCTGCAACACACCATATATATCTTGCATCCAAATTAATCTAGCTAGTGAATTGGATACAACAGGTTAGAGGAATAATAAGGTAATGTAATCAGCCAAACTAACTAATACAAACCTTCTTAAAGCTTCAGCGAGCTTACGAGACTCATCTAAGGTAGCATGGTCATCAAATGTGTCATCTACCACGGTCATAAGTGCAAAAATCTTGGTAAGCATTGTCCGAGCCCGCGAGAGATCTTGCTCGTAGTATACTGTGTAGCACCAGAAGAAACACTCGACCACGCGATCACGCACGTAGTTTAGTTCCACTTCTTGGTAAATATCCTTCCACCATCTGAAACATTTTGTCCATATATCATCAGCAGGCTAGGCGTGGACTAATTTGTGTTCATGAGTAGAAATTATTTACGTAATTTAAGGAGCTGTGAAGTAAATTAAAGCTCATGATTAATTTTAAGGTCACCCGCATTTATGTTTAAACTTCACTTGTATCCAAAAATTTTATATTAGTTACAGAATAGTGAGTCGTGCATTTGATTAGTTTCACAATTGGGGATGTTGTAAACCAGGGCCTCAAGCTGCCCTTATAACCGTGAACCTCTGCAGCCTATAGAAAGCTAGAGGATATTCTCATGAACTGAAAAAAAAATTAAACTTCATTGTGGAAGTGGAAGACTGGCATGATAAACGGGAAGAAGATTAAAAACTTGTCATGTTTTATTTCAACAAGAGATAACTAGAAGTTTAGAACATGCGTACTGGGAAATGGCTTTGAGCTCTTTCAGGTGAAGACGTTGAAGTAAGTTAAAATCCAGCTTTGCAAGCTCTAGTATGGAGCGATTGTATGTTTGCTCTTGAGTGTATTCGGACATATAATCTAGGGCCTCCAATCTCTTCAGTGTCCTTGGCAATGGTAGCTTAAGGGCCCGGGTTACTTGACCAGATAATGGGGCCCTGAGGCTACTTGTTAATAATCCCAGTCCCAGATGATGCCTTGCAAATGGAATTGCTTCTTCAAGTTCCACCTCTCCGTGCGTTAAAAGGTGAGCTGCATTGTATAAGCTTAACAAGCCTCTATGATCATTCGTTATTTCTGTACGGAAGCTTCCATCATCGCCTCTGAACTTGCTGATCAATTCGTCTGTAATGAAATTATGGTACAGATTTGTCATGCCAGTATGTGCAATATATATGCAGGCACACATATATACCTACCTGGAGAAACCCAAAGACCATGGGTCCTAAGGAGGCGAAATCGCAGGGCAACTTCATGGAGGCTACTGAATCCTCAACAGCCATGGATGCTGCGTAGTGTGGCATCAATCTGCTCCTGGAAGAGATGATCAATACTCAGATGCTGGAGGGTGTCCACAAGGCTCATCTGGTGCACCGCGTTGCTGTCGCTGCAAGCCTCAAACAGTCCACACACCTCCTTCCTCAATTGATTGACCCTCTCCCTCATGCTTCCCTCCAACATCTACAAGAATTATATATGCAAATTAAAGGCATACGCATATAGTACAGCATAGACACCGGACATGTTAAAACTTAATAAATCGAGCATGAGTGCGTGCCTGCATCGGTTTAGGGACGTAGTCGATGAAGAAGTCACCCCACACTGAGGGGTCAACAGTCCTCGCCTCAGCAGCGGTGGTGTTGCTGGCAGCCATTTGTGGATGTGCCGTAGTACGTCTGAGGAGCTTGATATATATAGTCCTACTACTCAGTACTCAATGTCAAGGTGATTACTGAACTTAGTGATTGTCTAATTAATCACGGTCCACGGGGTGGTTCGTCTTGAAAACGTAATGGCATTCACAGATTGAGGGTTTCTTTGTTTGTTTGATTGATTGATGATGATGATCACGCATCCATACACCTTGTCTAAGATAGGAGTAACTTTAATAGGCGTAGTATAGGTTCAATAAAAACGCCATGCATGTATATAAAAGCATGCATGGCAACTAGTGACCAGTAATTTCCACACTAGCTAACTGTCAAATCTGCTGAATGAATTTGGTTAAATCACTAAAACGAGCAGAAATACTGTTAGGAGGCGTGACAGGAGGTGAGTAACTGTGTTTTTTTTTTTTTTTGGACGGACGGGACACAACGTTTTCCATTAAGAAAGAAGCACATCTAGGTCCTGAGCTATAGCTCAGTGGTGGGTTCCGTGGTTACGAACCCACCGGTCCTGGTTTCAAGTTTTTAGCGACCGGGGTTTATCCCCATTTTTTTTTCTTTCCCTTAGGTACATTCACGTGGCACCACAATGGGAGGGTGTGCGTGCGTTTAGTAGAATTGAGAAACTACAACATGTACCCTAAGAGTCTAGGCTAAAAAAAATCATTTTCTTCTTGCACCATAATGAGAGGGTGTGCTTGTGTTGAGTAGAGTTGAGATATATAACTTGTACACTAGGAGTCTAGGCTTAAAAAAAAAACACATCTGATGGTTTTTTTTATTGGTAATGAGAAACATGAGGGGTCAGACGACCCCTAGTGGTATTACCCCTAGTGGTATTTCTAAAAGGATTGGACGAGCAACATTCTGTTTTAGCGACTGAATGTGAAGAAAATTAGCAATATGTAGGGCGTGTTTGGTTCCAACCCTAGGGCAAACTTGCTTGGATGAAACTCTACCTGTACCTTTCCTGTGACAAGTTTGGTTGGTGTCCTGGGTACGTGACTGGGCAGGCATCCGCTCGTCGCCTAAGCGGGCAAAATCAAGTTGTCTGGCTCTGGCTTGTATATTGTTGCCTGACATAAAGTGGCTGATAAGACAGCCACACAAATCACGAGCACAATGCCTTTTCTCTTTTATTTTATTGTTTTGTCCGGCCGGCATTTCTCTCTTTAACCAAAAATAAATAAATCAAAAGGCCCTTTATTATATCCTTGTGATGTGAAATTATTTATATAGACATATCAATAAAAAAGTACTTATTGCACATATATAAATTCAAAAAAAATTAAACACATATAGAGAGTTGTCATTAGAAATAATTAATCTTAATAATTTTACTAATAGACAAAAATCATTTATTTGGTAAACAAACTATTAATAGCGTTCTGTAATCATATATAGACCAGGCACAGGCTTTAAACCAAACACACTTCCTCCGAGTTTGCCTCACTAAGCAAAAAGCATCAACTTTCCGGTCAAGTCTCATGCAACATTCTGACTTGTGTGGCTCGTGATTTGAACCATGCAACAAGAGTAAGTAGATTTGACTCTTGAATGATACTAGCTTTGTCCGCTATTCTGATATATAATATATATTTGATGGGGATGAAATTGGTGTGCGTGATCTGTTCCTATTCCTGAATCCCGATCCACAGGTGGCGTATAGTGTATTAGATAGAATGAGGCTAACGACGGAATTGTTCCGGCCACCACGAGGATCGCGTGACGATCGATCAATTGACGTGCATGGCGCCGACGCAGATGATGTCAATAGGGTAACTGTTTTTCTTTTAATTTAAGTACATATAAACAGCCACGAGGACAGCATGGGCCAACCAATCCCCAGTAGGATGGCAGTAGCTAGTAGGCCATATATGGCATCAACTGGCCGCCCATGTACGCTTCTGTAATAATGCGCCGCTGGTCGATTGGCTATACAAGCCAGCACAAAAATCATACGCTCAGCTCACGCAAAGGCGAAAAGAAATATGTACGCTTCTGTAATAATCAATCTATTGCCTCCACACGTTTTTACACAATGGAAAAGACTTCAGTGAGGAAAAATCAGTTCGTTACAAGCACAAGTGCACAACCAAAGGGGAAATAAAACAAGTTGTTAGAGCATCTGCGCGCACTAGATTGATAATATCTGATCTCATTTTCCTGTAACTATAAATAAAGGGGATTAAAGGCAAACATCAAGCTCCAACAAATTCCCTTTCCAATCCATTTTCCTAAATTTTCTTCTCAATTGAGAAAACCGCCTCCTCAATCCCTCAAATAAAGGACAATGATAAGAGATTTTCCTCAGTTCCCTTCCTTTCTTCACCTCTCATTGACCTCTAGGCCCTACACCACCACACCGCGCGTCTCACACCACCTTGAGCCAGGAGGGCCACATCATCCCCCTCCTTCCCATCCCTGATCCCCCCGCGGAGCCCCACCCGCCGCTGCTCTGTGGGCTCCCGCCAAGGCACTGTGTAAGTGAGTCTCCCGCACGGGGGCCATGCAACGATATTATTTTTCTAATGCGACAAACGCTAGTATGCGATTATTATGCTACTAAAATTTGACACGATACAAAAACGATATTATGTTTTTAATGCAACAAGCACTAGCACACGATTATTATACTACTGAAATTTTATATTATTTTTCTGAGCATCTTAATGACTTCAAATGTGAAAACTCAAAACTACAAAGTAGTAGATCTCATTGAGAACTACAACTTTCATGTAAAATGCATCTTCATTTGACACAATACAGAAAAGATATTATTTGTCTAGTGCGATAGGCATGTGCACGTTTATTATGCTCCTGAAATTTTGAAAGTTAGCGTTAACTTTCAAAGTAGCTGATTAATGCGGTATAAAATTATTGTAAGGTTTGGCCTTGATCCAAAGCATTGACTTCTTTCTTAACGCTATCCCAAAGGCCTCTGCCATATCAAGTTCTTCCAACTTGACGCCATCGGGCAGAGCCCAATCAAAATGGTAAAGAAAGCTAGCAAGCGCCAACTCTAAGTTGGCCAGTCCTAGCGTGATGCCAGGGCATATTCTCCTACCAGCCCCGAAGGGAGTGAACTCGAAGTCATTACCCCTAAAATCGATACTGCTACTTTCAAATCTTTCTGGCTTGAATTCCTCTGCATCATGCCATAGTTTTGTGTCCCTTGCTATTGCCCAAACATTCACAAACAACTTGGTCCCCTTTGGCACATCGTAACCCATAACCTGACATGACTCACGACATTCTCGAGGGAGCAAGAGGGGCGCTGAAGCATGCAGTCGTAAAGTCTCCTTGTTCACCAGATGTAGATATCTTAACTTGATCAAATCACCTTCATTTATCTTGTCTTGTCCTTTGAAGGTCTCCCTCACCTCTAACTGGGCCTTATGCATGACTTGTGGATTCTTAACAAGCTCTGACATTGCCCATACTAGAATGGTTGATGATGATTCACTCCCAGCAGAGAAAATATCCTGCAATACAATCTTACAGTTACAATTGTGAAATGGGACATTCACATTAATTCTCACGGGGCATGCCAAAAAATCTTAATATTCTAACAAAAAAACAAAAAGACCTGACTATTAATTTGGTAGACTCTAATCAGCATTGATAATAATAACTAGTTGATATATTTTATTTTTCTAAAGAATATCCATGTATATGATTATGAAAAAAAAACTAGATAAAGTAACCCGTAAATGTGCATATAATATAAACTCTACGATACCAAAAAAAATATTTAGTGTAATAAAATTTCATTTGCCTAATGCTAAATTAGAAACAAATTAGAAAATTAAGAATAAAGTATCATATGCATTGGAGGTTTTGCAGGAGTGTGGTGTCAGATAACTAGAAGATATCTCGCGCGTTGCTGTGAGGATTGCAAAGAACTTGGAATGAAACTAAGCGAAAATAACGTGAATAGCTTGCAATTAAGAGGTTAGAAGTTAGTGGATGAGATAACTAGTAGTGAAAGATGATATGGATATATAGTTATTGGTGGATGATCGATGTGGATGACTTATATGTTGAGATAGACTTATAGTGGGAGATTATCTCTATATAAAAGTGGATCTTACCCAAATAACCGTGCTGACAATCTCGTCGGTGAGAGCGAACTGCAGGCCACCTTCCCTCTGCAGCCACAGGAGAACACCCAGAAGGTCCTCGTCTCGCTCTGGCGTCGGCATGGCTTCACGCTCATGGATGATGCGGTACATGTTCCTCTGGCACCTCCTCGCGTCCCTCGCGGCGGCGCTGAACCGCCGTACCAGCCGCGAGGACGGGTACAGGTCCGCCAGGTTGAACCCACCAAACAGCCGCAGCTCATGCATGTATTCGTCTCGGTACTTGCACCGGTCGCCGACGACCGTGCGCGCGGCGACGTCGTTTATCATGCGGCAGATCCCTTCGCTGAGGTTGAGAATTTTTTTTATTCTTAAAACTTTTTTTAACTATTTTTAAAACTGACACTGTTTAATTTTTTTTTAAATCTAATACTTTTGACATCGCCTATTCGCACGGCGCGACGAATTCAAGCTGCCACGCCATGCATGACGGCGCGGCAAGGGTGCTTACGTGGCAGCGACTAGGGCCGCTGACCGGTGACGTAGCCGGGGCTGTCGCGCTGCAGATCTGGGCGCGGCAGTAACGCGCCACGGCGCATGGCGCGGCAATCCGCTTATTAATTCGCGGGCGGTGCAGCAGGCCTTCACGGAAGGTAGGGGTCCCGGTCTCCCATGTGCCGTGCGTGCGCAGAAGCGACAATGCCTTTTCAGAGTCTGGCAGCGGAGGGCTGCTCGGCTTTCCACTCCGACACCACAGCAGGTTCAAAGGTACTACAAATGGTTCAAAGGTACTACAAATCAAATTACACACCGTCGTCAACAAATAAAACAATGGTCAAGGATATATGGAACCTAGGAGTTTTTCATCGATTTATACAAAATAAATTATTGAAAGAGAGCAGCCGCGAAATAATTCTCCATTTAATTTGAAGGACCTCATGATATTGATGTGTCTTTCCGAGATATATACTATACATATTGCCCACTAGCTCTATTAAATTCGTTCACCCACACACATGGATCAATCTATTTTGTGGGCCTCTAATTTGCGCTGGAAAAGTGCACACTGTATGTCCTAATCCTTCAGATCGACGTGCATTATTTGATGTGCTCTTGTCACCTCACTGGATTCATGGCCTTACTCCATCTACGTCGTGTGGTGCATCATATGATTCCCTGCCGCCATGGATTCTCCTGTCCCTTGGGTCTACCATGCGTGTTCTTCATGTTGCTGCAAACCCTACGTCAAACATCTATCTCTTCAGAAAATAGAGGTAAAAAAGTCGCTTTAAATTAACAAAATGTTTGTAGTACTACTTTATCCACATATTAAAAAGAAATATAGTACTCCCTCTGTCAAAGAGAGTGTCGCTATGAGATTCGAGCCCGTGAAACTTTCTTAAATTTTACTAAATTTATAGAAAATATTAACAATATTTGTATCTCTAAATAAGTTTACAATAAACTTATTCAGTGATTTATCGAATCATACAACACTATAAATAATAATATTATATATTTGATCAAAGTTAAAAATATATGACTACTCATAGAGTGAGAATCACACTGTTTATGGGATGGAAGGAGCAAGTGATACCGGTATTTTTCTTCAACAATGGAACTAGTAATATAAACCTATAAAAATGTGAAACGAAAACTGTTTATATATATCCATGTCAATGCATGGATGTATGCATAGTTTATTTACAATTTATAATAACTATTATAAAAGTATGGCCAGAGGAAAGGTCTTGTCATGGCGCATGGGTAGCTGCAAAGTGAAACGAAACATTTATTCGGCATGCCAAATTGCCAATAATTGGAGCCCTAAAAATATTCGGAGCTACAGGAAGAAGGAGATCGCTAGCTCACGAGACGGATGGACGACGCATGGCCGGAGACGACGCGTCAAATCGTCCCTTCTTCTCCATCAAAAGTTACGTCCAGTCCAGCAGATCGATGCGCGCGCGCGGCGCGAATCCAGATCACTGGTCCATTTCGCGCCGGCGCTTTTGCCGGCCGGTCGATATGCGTCGGCTTCATGGCGAAACCTAGGTCGTGTTTTAATAGCTTATCTGACGAGCGCTTCTCAGATAAGCAGCCTGTTCGTTTGGACGTGGCTTATCGTAAACGATCGTAAATTTTCAGCTAGAATAGTATTTTTCTCTCACACAAACCAGCCAACAGTACTTCTTCATAAACCAGCAACGAAACGAACCAGCTAACCGAACAGGCTGAAGTTGCACAAATATAGTAAAAACGGCGGTTAAAATAAGTTGATTTGATCTAGCTTCTGCTTCTTAAGTATAAATAGGAGCCGTGGAAATAAGCGTGGCCAGAATAAGCTGCTGAAAAGTGTAACGTTTGGCTGTTGATTTTAACTTATTTTAGCCATAAACAGCTTATAAGCTGTACCAAACAAGCCCATGGACTAGCCGTGGAAGCTAGCTCTGGGCTCTGGCTGCACTACTACACAAACTTTACTGGAGGCGAGCGTTTTCGGTTTTCCGCGGCGGGCAAAGCCGTCCGCCGCGGCCTAGAGGCCACGGTAAATCGTGGCTTAACCGCGGCGGACGGCGTTGCCCGCCGCGGTTAATCGATTTATCGCGGCGGGCGGTGTAACGTGCCCGCCGCGGTAAATATACTTTTACCACGGCGGGCACGTTAGGATGCCCGCTGCGGTTAATCATTTTTTTAAAAAACAAAAAAACCAGGAGCCTGCCAGCGAGCCCGTTCTCAAGCCCACTGGCGAGCCCAACGGCGACGGATCCGGGCTTCCCACGACCGCCACCACCTCGCCAGTCGCTCGCAGGGGACTACGCCGACGCCTCCTCGCGGATCCCGCCGCGCCGTGGTGGAGGGAGGCCGCCGCGCCGACGCGTCCTCACCCGCCGTGGTGGAGGTCCCAGTGTCGTGGCCGTGGTGGATCCCGGCGTCGTGGCCGTCGTGGAGATCCCCCACCGGACTCGGTCGCTCCACCGCCAGATCCACGGAGGAGGAGGGTGCAGCCGCCAGATCCGTGGGGGAGGAGGTCGCCGCCGCCGGATCCGTGGAGGAAGAGGTCGCCGTCGTCGGATCTGGAGAGAGGAAGAGGGAGAAGTGAGGGAGATGGAGAGAGGAAGAGGGAGATGAACTCACTGGATTTGAAACCCTAGCCCCGCGCCATCGTCGTTCATGGAGGATCCGTGGGGGAGGAGGAGGGCGCAGCCGTCGCCGTCGTCCCGCGCGCGCCCTCGATCCGCCGTCTGGAGGCCTCGCGCGCCCTTGGAGGAGGCCACCGACGGGGAAGGGAGGGACCGCCACCGCCGACGGGGAAGGAAGGGGTCCACCGTGGATCCGGGCTGGCACCACCTCCTTGCACAGCCGTGGAACCACGCCATGACCGCCTCCTTGCATTTCCCCCGTCGTGGATCTGCACCGTGGGGGCCTCCCCCGCCGACGAGGGAGGGAGAGAGGAAGAGAGGGAGGGAGCGCCTGAGCTCCGAGGGTCGCCGCCGCGTGCGAGCTCGAAGGGCCGCCGCCGCGCGAGCACCCGGGAGCCGCCGTCGCGGGGTGGCGCACGGCGAAGGGAATAGAGGAGGAGGCGCGCGGTCGCGTGAGTCGGGGATGAGAGATGGAGGCGGCTGGGGATGTGGACTGAGGCTAGGGTTCACAAGTGAAGTGCCACTTATATACGAGCCCAGTAGAAAAGCTGAGATGGGCTTCTTCTGGGCTGAGAGTTTGGGCCTTATTTTTTAAAGCGGGCTTTATAATATGCCCATTACGGTAAATCAATTTACCGTGGTGGGCATCTTAAGACGTCCGCCACGGTTAATAGGGTATTTTTCGTGGCGGGCATCTTAAGACGCCCGCCACGGTAAATAAATTTACTATGGCGGGCAAAAGAGCCTGTCACGGTAAATAAAAATGCTCGCCTCGGTAAATCGCGGGATTAACCGTGGCGGGCTAAAATAGATGCCCGCCTCGGAGGCCATCGGGGGGTGTCACGGTTAATCGTTTGTGTAGTAGTGCTGGCCGCCATGGACGAGCTGTGCTAGCGGTGTGCACTGGATGCTAGCTGACTGCATGAGCCGATTATGGAAACGCGTACATTGCATATTTGCATGCTAAGGACATTTCTAGATTGCTTGTATATTGGTCTTTTATTTAAGGTGTACTCCCTCCGTCACATGTTATTAGTTGCATCTTAGCTCTAGACACGAGAATTAAGAATGAGTAAAAAAAACTTGTGGTGCGTAGAAAACAAGAAGTACTCCGTATAGTGTAAGATAGAAATGTCTTGGAAAAAACAAAATATGCATTGAGAAGTACAAATGACAAATAATTTAGGACAAAAGTAGAAGATTAAAATGACTTTTATTATGTGATAAAGGGAGTAGTTTTTTTTTTTTTGAGAATCGGGAGTAGGTTTTATTTTGGGAGATAGGTTGGGTTCTGCCTAAGCGATTTGCCACGTGGGCCAAAGTCAAGACACACCTCTAGAGGCACCATGTCTAAAAATAAAGACTACTAGAGGTTATTGTTTAAATTGTCAGTCTCTAATAACAATCTATTTTCAGAGACGAGTGGTTTAAGTGACTGCCCTCTAGAAAGAAGCGTAAACGAGGTGAGTAGTACCCCTTCTTTCCTGGACTGCTCCATTTAGGTCATGTTCGCTTCGCTGAAAAAAAAACAAGCCGCAATACTGTTCCAGCTGATTTGTTGTGAGAGAAAAATATTGTTTCTGCTGAAAAAACAAGCTGAAAAAGACGGATCATAAGATAAGCGAACAGGGCCTTACAGTAGCGAGGGCGAAGGTAAAATTGTGTCATTAATTGTACGTGTGTGTGTCCTATTTTGAATTTGCTTCTTAATTTATGGCTTTGGTTGGTGCTTTTGACTTAGAGAGAGGGCATAGTATTTTTCTCCATTTTTTTAAGATCATTTTAGGTCAAATTAGTGGTCAATCTTACTTCAATTAAGTGTGATCACTCAATTGGATGTTCTATAATCTCTAGCATGTCCACCATGGATAAAGAGTTGATTGGAGGCATACGTTGTATTGCCCCTAGATGCATGTTCTCTCGAATACACCAGGAAAGCAATTGCGTCTTTTGCTGCCACGGTGTCGGAGTGGAAAGCCGAGCAGCCCTCCGCTGCCAGACTCTGAAAAGGCGTTGTCGCTTCTGTGCACGCACGGCACAGGGGAGGCCGGGACCCCTACCTCCCACGAAGGCCTGCTTCACCGTCAGCGAATTAATAAGCAGATTGCCGCGCCATGCGCCGTGGCGCGTCAGTGCCGCGCCTAGATCCGCGGCGTGGCAACTCCGGCCACATCACCGGTCAGCGGC